ATAAAATACATAAATTATTATTAAATTCTTTACATAATTACTAAAATAATAGTAAAATATAATACACTAATAATAAGAATATTCTGTATCAATGAAACACTATTTGCTCATTCATATCAAAAACTAACAAATTCTTGTTGAGGTATAGCAATACTACAGAATATCATTTATTAAAATTTAAATACATCATATATATATATAGTTTTTCAACAATTATTTCTCCCATTATTATTATTATTACAATTGATTGAGATTATTGTGAACATTGAAAACTTTTTAATTGATAGTTTAGTCTAGATTCTAGTGAAAGTTTTAATATGATCCATTTGCAATCTATAAAATGAACATTTATAACCAGCTACTTTAGCCATGTTCTCAATAAATCACAGTCAAATGTAAATTATCATAAGTTAAATTATTGTTTTTCAATTATTTAATTAACTTAGTTTTAATTAAAACAATGCTTAACATTTTTTACTAATAAATTAAAATACATTTTTAGTCATTATAAAAATAGAATAATCTATTATTTTTCTGATTTCTCTATTAATTTAAAGTTAATATTTATGTTTGAATTAAAATCTTTGTATATATTGTGAAAATGTTTGACAATTAAAATAAAAATTATTTTGTTTGTAAATAACCTAATTGCTTCATTATTTTAAAAATATTATTGTCAATCAAAAGGGGTTTAGAAAAGATCAAATGAAAAGATTACAGTATGTAGAATACAAATATAATTTCTTAATTCTAGTTGAGAAAAAAGTTACGATAAGTATGAGAAAAACAACAATTCATAGAAATCATTTCCGTTATTTACAAAAAATATATTATCCTTCTTTTCTTTATAATTAAAAAAACCTACATCATTACTACATTTCTGTATTCTGTACTGTATTTCCAATGTATTTCATATCCAATTCAATCGCTTATCATTTATTTTAATGCAAAATAATTGAGATTATAAACAGAAAATGTTTGCTATTTAGATGTAGGAAATGATGGGAACATTATCTGTAGACAATACACTAAATTGTGTGATCCTTTAATACAGTAATCTTTATAATGTTTATAATTAATAATAATTATAATAATTATTTTCTGGATTATCAAAATATCCAAAGGTTAGTCAGTTAATATGGATTTGAGCCAAATTGGACATAATATGTAATAATAATAATATTGTTTATACAGTATTATTAACACACATAATGTAGTTCTGAATTAAACATTTTATCACTTAATGAACAAACAAACCTATAAAGTGATTACAATGTTATATTCTCGTCATGTCTTGACTTCGTCAATGGTATTGTCATTTTATATTATGTACAGTATTTCATTGCATCTGCTATTCATAAGTTATACTTAATTTATTGGTTATTTATTGCAAATCTTAACAAATAAAACAACAATTTAAACAAAACAAAATATAATTTGTTTAACAATAAAAATTCTAATTCTTGAATAAATAAAAACAAAACGTTTCAAATAAACAATATATAAATATAAAAGGTTTAGTGATCTTCTAATAGTATATAAGAAGATCTTTTTTTCTTAATACAGTTGTAGGCAATAATTATTATCAATACAAGTAATAAAATTATATTTATGACTAACGCCACAATATTACCAATAAATATATCGTTTCTATTATCATGAATACCACATTCGTTGTCCCAATCATTTGGTATTACATTTTGGGTGATTTTGAGAAAATCCTCGAATGAACAGTTGTTTTGATGATCACAATCAGGTAATGTCATTGGAAATGGAGGTTGATTATCAAGAGTTTGATTAAAATAAAAAATTTTAACAAAATAATTATTTGAATCCAAACTCTGGTGTAATTCAAAGAGAACTGAAGCGCCAAATGGTATGAATTCATTATTATAGATGTTTAACGCATTCAACAAAACGGCTACTTTTGAATCATGTGTTGAATAGACAAATAATTTGTAGGGATAACCAACAGAATTGTTGATAGGTTTGCCATTAATATAGTTATGAAAATTGGTAACCAATTCTTGAATAAGAGGACCGGCTCTGAGTCTTTCAATAAGCGTGTTGTGCCACTCGACTGTCCACTTAAACTTAGCCAAAGGCATCACTTTATGGTAAACATACGATTCATATTCTGGAGACCAAATCTTAGTGTCCGACCATTTATAGCCTCTGTTGTGCTCGAGAGTGAGGTCTTCGTAGACTCTATTGGCGAGCCTTAAAGTATTGATTTCCATTCCAACACTTTTGCTTAAATTTGTTAGAAATTCTTTATTTTCGTTCAATAATTTTAAAACGGGTTCCGAATTATAGATTTTGTTCATCTCTTCATCAGCTTTGGGACAATACTTCTCGACGTCGAGAATAGCGTCATATTTTTCGGGCATAAAACTCTCGATGGGAAAGGGCTGCCAATGAAGACCCAGTTGTTCGGTGCCATTACTGCCATTACTCCACTGCCAGTCCGTATTGTTGGGCGGATAAGCGCCCGACAGAAGGAGGGAAAGACTTTCCAGACATCGCGAACACAACGAACTTCTGGCGTAGACTTCGCGCGGAGAGAATTGCTTTCCCAAAAATGATTGGTATTCTTGTCGTAAAAAGAGTCCCAATCTATACATACGGTATTTGCCGGCGAGAGTCAGTTCGCCCACACCTTCGGGCCAATACACCGAAGCATTAATATAGGGATCATTTGGCACAAAATGGACTGGTGTTCGGTCTCCGTGTCTGTGCACTACTTGTAGTAGTCTTAGAGTCGATATGTCGTGACTCTCACACACCGACAACTCTTTCGAGTAGATTATTATCATAAAACTAATTACGGTTTTACTTAAAATTAATGACATTATTAATTATTAACATTTCATTTATAACAATATATTATTGTTTTAAAACAAATGAACAATTCATGTCAATTATCAGAGCATATATTTCCAATAAACTAATTAAATATATTAACTCTTATCTGTTGTTTGATTAATAATTAAAATACAAATATAATTCAAAACAGAAAACATAATTTAATCACTTGTTTATAACTCTTTAACATAAACATAGCCTTGATTTCGAAATTCACTGTTTGTTAACTTTCACTTTCGCAGAGAAATTGTGAATAACAGTTGTAATACACTATATGTACTGTATTTATATTTAGACAGTGATTGCGATTGTAAAATAAGAGGAAAGTATTCTTTCACAAGAGTGTAACAAATAATAAGAAAGAGATATACTTTATCTCAACTCAAATTTAAAGTGTTTTTTCTGCAATGCTTTCGTCATTTGATAAATTTCGACACAATTGTGAACAAAAATACAACGAAAATATGTTATCAATTTGTGGATGTATTGATCAGAGTCTAAATGCATGATAAGACTATTTGTTAACAAATAAACAATATTTTAAAAACACATTAGGCGTCGTTCACAAAATACGTGCGCACGTTTTAAGAAATCTATACCCCTCCCCCCTATGTTTGCAATTGTTCGCATGTAGTCATTTAGGCAAAAGTACGTACGCATTTCTTGTTTACCCCCCCCCCAAATTAGATTTTTGGATTTAGATTAGTATTATGATTGATCAATGATCATGGCAAGACTTACGGTATTTTCAGAAGAAAATATGATTTCATTACAATTCATTGATGAGATATACAGTATATGAGTACAAATATTTATTAAAATTTAATTTTAAAACAAATGCTAAATAGAGTAAAAGCAGAGGAAGTAAATAAAATTATAATTTTAAATCAATAGGATTTTCAATCAAATATGAGTCGAAATTTTTGAGTGCTTTCTTTCAAAATGAAATGAAAAGAGAATTGAGTTTTGAGATGAGATGACTCTCACTAATAAAAATGAGAACTTTTTATTCCAAATATCTAGAGATATAGCTGGAGGTGATGGGAGACAATCAATACACACTTTCATCAAATCAAATGGCATCAGAGAGAGAGAGAGAAATCAGAAAAATAATAGATTATTCTATTTGTTGACTATTATATCTATATTCAGTGCACACGAGTCCGCACAACCCTACGGTCACGTCTGGCGATGATTTGTCCGCTCCGACGGGTTTACTGATGGATCGCAATAATAAAGATAATATGAATGGCATGAATGGCGGCACCAGTAATAGGGCGTCTAGAGCTCAGAAGACACCCAACAATAACAACGATAGAGAGATGAGTGACCACAACAACCAAGCAATTAAGTCATGCCGTAAGTTATATACTGTCAACATTTCATTTGTTCAATATAACAAATACTTTATGTAACTATTATACAGTTTAATTTAACTTTATGTAACCATTCTGAATGTGCATTTGTTAAGTCAATACAAAATGCAATTCACTGTATTGTTTATTATAAATTTTATTTTATTAGATAAAAACATCAAGTATTCTACACAGTATATATAAATCTACAAATTCATAAAGATTTTTAAGTTAAATTGACAATGATCAGTTAATCATATCAGTTAATGATTTTTAATTAATAGATAAACAAAAATCATGCATAATAAAATCTTTTTTAAAATTATAACTTATTAAAACTATTGATTTCATTTTTATGCAACTTTTTAATAAAATATCGTTTATTGTTATGTAAATTATGTGTTTAAAAGTACGTTGAGTTTTGATTTTTTGTTCAGATCTAAAGTTTAGTAAATTTGAAATATTTTATAAAATATATTAAATTAAAATTTAATGTTTAGAATTTGAATTAATTTAAATAAAATGTATGAATTTGTATGCATTTCACCGATTGAATGACTGAATGTCTTTATGTCTCTCATGAATAAACTGTATTAAATTGAAATCTCGTCAATGAATTCATTACTTGATTATAAGACATTTTGTAAAAGAATTTAATGAATAATTTATATTTTATCTGATTTTTTGTTTTTCATTTATTTACAGATCAAACGATTTCTTCAATAATATCTTTGCTCATCATTTGGTCGATTATAACGAATACAATGTTTAACATTTAAAACATTGCTTATTAAACAACATTTCAGCCATTTGTCAAATACTATTGTTTAATATACAATAATTTTTTATTCAATTTAAATCTATTAATATTTTCAATTTAAATCAAATAATAAAAACAATCAATCAATCGATCAATTTATCCGTAAATTATGATTTGAAAGAAGTAATGCAAATAAGAGTTAACAATCGATTCGCCTATAATTCAATGGGAAGTAATGGTTTATAAATGTAATGCTATGAATACACGCCTATGGGTAAAAATGAGTGATTTTTAATGTTCATTCTTTTTAATAAATTATTGAAAATATTGTAGAGTAAAAGAAATCATTGATTTTTATATGGTATACAAGACTGCTGTTAACAATTTCTTTGTATAAAATACATAAATTATTATTAAATTCTTTACATAATTACTAAAATAATAGTAAAATATAATACACTAATAATAAGAATATTCTGTATCAATGAAACACTATTTGCTCATTCATATCAAAAACTAAACAAATTCTTGTTGAGGTATAGCAATACTACAGAATATCATTTATTAAAAATTAAATACATCATATTTATAGTTTTTCAACAATTATTTCTCCCATTCATTATTATTATTACAATTGATTGCGATTATTGTGAACATTGAAAACTTTTTAATTGACAGTTTAGGTCAATTCTAGTCCTTAGTCTAAATTCTAGTGAAAATTTTAATATGATCCATTTGCAATCTATAAAATGAACATTTATAACCAGCTACTTTAGCCATGTTCTCAATAAATCACAATCAAATGTAAATTATCATAAGTTAGATTATTGTTTTTCAATTATTTAGTTAACTTAGTTTTAATTAAAACAATGCTTAACATTTTTTACTAATAAATTAAAATACAATTTATAGCCCTTATATAAATAGAATAATTTATTATTTTTCCGATTTCTCTATTAATTTAAAGTTAATATTTATGTTTGAATTAAAATCTTTGTATATATTGTGAAAATGTTTGACAATTAAAATAAAAATTATTTTGTTTGTAAATAACCTAGTTGCTTCATTATTTTAAAAATATTATTGTTGATCAAAAGGGGTTTAGAAAAAATCAAATGAAAAGATTACAGTATGTAGAATACCGATATAATTTCCTAATTCTAGTTGAGAAAAAAGTTACGATAAGTATGAGAAAAACAATAATTTCATAGAAATCATTTTCGTTATTTACAAAAAATATATTATCCTTCTTTTTTTATAATTAAAAAAACCTAATTTAAATAATAAAAACCTATTCAATACATCATTACTACATTTCTGTATTCTGTACTGTATTTCCAATTATTTCAAATGTATTTCATATCCAATTCAATCGCAATCGCAATCATAATAAATTCAAATGATAAATTTATTTTAATGCAAAATAATTGAGATTATAAACAGAAAATGTTTGCTATTTAGATGTAGGAAATGATGGGAACATTATCTGTAGACAATACACTAAATTGTGTAATCCTTTAATACAGTAATCTTTATAATGTTTATAAATTATAATTAATAATAATTATAATAATTATTTTCTGGATTATCAAAATATCCAAAGGTTAGTCAGTTGATACGGATTTGAGCCAAATTGGACATAATATGTAATAATCATAATATTGTTTATACAGTATTATTAACACACATAACGTAGTTCTGAATTAACCATTTTATCACTTAATGAACAAACAAACCTATAAAGTGATTACAATGTTATATTCTCGTCATGTCTTGACTTCGTCAATGGTATAGTTATTTTATATTATGTACATTATTTTATTGCATCTGTTATTCATAAGTTATACATAATTTATTAGTTATTTATTGCAAATCTTAACAAATAAAACAACAATTTAAACAAAACAAAATATAATTTGTTTAACAATAAAAATTCTAATTCTTGAATAAATAAAAACAAAACGTTTCAAATGGACAATATATAAATATAAAAGGTTTAGTGATCTTCTAATAGTATATAAGAAGATCTTTTTTTCTTAATACAGTTGTAGGCAATAATTATAATCAATACAAGTAATAAAATTATATTTATGACTAACGCCACAATATTACCAATAAATATATCGTTTCTATTATCATGAATACCACATTCGGTGTCCCAATCATTTGGTATTACATTTTGGGTGATTTTGAGAAAATCCTCGAATGAACAGTTGTTTTGATGATCACAATCAGGTAATGTCATTGGAAATGGGGGTTTATTATCAAGAGTTTGATTAAAATAAAAAATTTTAACAAAATAATTATTTGAATCCAAACTCTGGTGTAATTCAAAGAGAACTGAAGCGCCAAATGGTATGAATTCATTATTATAGATGTTTAACGCA